CTTTTGGATGTAATTTTACTCTCTGAACACATACTTCTTACTGTGATGTAATTTTATTCACATACAATAAAGATGAAAATAATGATATATTATCATGTTTTTTTCTCATATAAACTTCCACTGATATTATAGTAAAAACAATTGCCATTGGAATTTTGAATGAATGAATGACTAAAGTATTGTAAGTAAGCTTCTGAATCTTTTATAAAATTTAGAAAAATTCAAATTGTGTGTGTGAACATATTGCAGCAAAAACAATAAAAATGTCAGGGGCTGGTTTCACCAAGTATTTTTATTTCATCTATATCACAGGAGCTTTATTCTTACAAAAACGAAATAGAAAAATAAAGTAAGAATTAGCAAACAAATGTCTCTATGGTGCTATTGTAGAAATTTCAAAATATATCTACTGACATAGCCCATGAGCAGTGAAATATTAGAGGCTCATAAATACTTGCTCAAGTGCAAACTGATACCATCTGGAAAAGTACCCCAGCCAGCCATCAGCTAAACTGGGCCTCCATTTAAGTCCCCTTTTGAGTGTTATTGATCAGTAGGATTGTTGCTGCTCCTGTGACATTATTTAGGGCAGAGGGGACAGGGCAGACAGAGCCACCTAGCCCACAACAGATAGAAACGAGAGTGTTTTGCCTCTGCCCTGCAGCACAGCTAGCGAGGCCTACTCTTCGTTGCCATTGTGGTTGGCACTTTCCCTTTCGGATTCATACTGTCGGCCCCTGTGCTGAGGCCTTTCCAGCTAGAAATAATTTACCTGTAGTACACTACAAATAAGAGAAGCAGCACTAACTAGGCAAGAGAACCTTCAGCTGAGGAAATCAGAACTCTTGCGTCTCATCCTTCACAGACTAGTCGACTGGACCTGAAGGCTGTTTATCTCGCACACCCATTTGCAAGTTCTGTGCAAAACTGTGTGTCAAGTACCATTTTTTGAGAGTATGGTACACATGATACAGCTATTCTTAAACACTAGAGAAAAAAGTACATTTGCAATCCATTCTCTCTTGACTTTTGAAAGATGTTTGTTGTATGTAAATTCTTATAAATGGTTTGCCTACTTTTCAAGGAAGACTAAGACATTATAATGGTTATAATAAAGTATATTGTTAATTTTATTTAATATCAATCTATGTTCAGTAGAGGTTGGATAGCAAAATATTTAGGTTCACTTGCAGTTTATTATTTCTGCAAAGTCCTAGTAAAATGGCTTGGTGAAAAGAACCTAAACATAGAAGTTAATTTTAAAACATTAACATACTAGATATTTTTAAAATAAAAAAAAATATTTTGTTTAACTCTACAGGACAGGAATTTAAGTATAAATTATGAGCATGGCTGGTCAGCTACTTTTCTGTGAACAAGTACTGTAGTTTTTGGCTTCTGTTTCTTCCTGATTTATCTCTATAAGGGTTAAATCTTTTGCTCCCATAGTTCACTCTACAACAACATATTTTGGTATCAGTAGTTTTTAAAATATTATTTATGTGTATTTGATATGTATGTGTGTGTGAATGTGTACAATTTCTAACCTCCACCAATTCAGAAACAGTGGAACATCTTCTTGGCTGTTCTTGTTTGTCTGTGAACACATGATCAGTTAGTTGTTTTACACACAAACACACACACAGGTAGTATCTAATCTTCATTAAGAGGCAGCAGTTTGACTCTTGAACATTTTCCTGGTGCATGAACTTGCGTCTTTGCAATGAGTTTAATGAAGGCACCTGTCCAACATAAATAATAAAAGAACATTCTAAAAATACCCACTTAAGGAATTAGGTGTGTACTGGAAATACAGTCTATGAAGAGCCAATTACAGTTTTTCGTAGCACAAACAACCAAAGGGAGAACAGTTTCTCAGGAGAGGACTCTTTTGATTCGTAGGTGATTTTCTCATCGTGTGGGGATTTGGATCTGCTTGAGCACCAGACGAGCTTGGTGTCTTCTGAGGACGGCGCCCGAGAACAGGAGAACATGGATGACACAAACAGTGAACAGCAGTTTAGAGTCTTTAGAGACTTCGACTTCCTAGATGTGGAGCTGGAGGATGGAGAGGTATAGTATATTCTCTGTAAAAATAATTCCTTCGACCTTTGCGTTAACTAATGAAACGGTTTCTTTTTACCTGCTAAATAATGAGTTTTTGTAACGAGGTCTTTAATTGGAAAGCTGTAACCTTTATTTTGAATCAGCTTATTCAAAGTACAGCAGCTTAACTTTGGTAAAAGTTACCACACCCTTCCTGTCTGAGCACACAGCAAAAGCTGCCAAGTTATTTCTAAATGGCAAAGACGTAAGTTTTAATGACCACACAAAGACTCTGTGTGTGTGTGTGTGTGTGTGTGTGTGTGTAGTCCAAAGGTGAACTTTAAAAAAAAAAATCACAAAAACATTTCAGTTCTAAGCATGTTCACTGGTACCTGGGTAAAATATGCTAAGCATTTAATTGTGTCAAACATGAAGTTGCTGCAATTCAATTACTTCAAAGCTTACCTGCTACAACATGAGACCAGAGCCTGAGGGAGCCAACATTTTTATGCTGTGTTTGATGAAATCATTAGAACTCGAAACAAAATATAGTGCACAGGAGAGAGCTCCTTGCTCTGCTGTAGCTTGGTGGCTAGCGTTCCAGACACCTGGAGCAGCTGAATTCAAGTCTCAACGGGCAAACATAGATTCATTTGCTTTGAAAGATAATCATGGTAATGAGATGCTTTCAGCTATGAATCAAGTTTTGGAAAACAGGGATTGGAAGGAGGAGCATCACCCTGTCAGTCACCTTCATTCCAATAGCTCTGGGGCATGTCCTGGCTGAGAGAGAGAGTTTTGCCTTGTGGGATGAAAACTCAATTCACTTAAGTGAGATTGGCCCAGGTAAAGATGCCTGATACGGGGCCTGGGCCCATGGTTTTTGCTCAGCTCATATCTAACTGCACAATATATCCCAAAGGGATTGCTGCTAGTCCTATCATTAAAATGGAGGCCCAGAGTCAAAGTTTATTATGTTCCATGGTGGATATGCACCTCCTTACCTAACTCCAAACTTGGGGAAAATGATGCTTCAAGTAGCTGCTTCCCTAAAAGGATGTCAGTGCTGAGCAACCCACGTATGTCTAGTTGAGGCCAAAGAGCTCTCCACTGTCATCCTCCCTTGCCCACTGACAACCCTGCATCTATGCCAGCAGGAGAGAATCATGTCGTCAGAATAAAGAATGTGTTCTTCACTGATTCTTTCCCTAGAAAACAAATTTAGCAGACGCAGGCCTTAAGGAGTATAAAGGCACTGACTATAGGCATCCTTAAAGTAAGTGCCAGCTTAATTTTCCCCTTGAATTGTTCTAGATCCGATAAAAAGTACTGCGGAGTTTTCTGTTAGCCATCATTAGTGACAAAGAAAGCATTCACTAAATGCAGAAAGGATTGTTTTCAAAGTCTAAAGCAAAAGACAACTGTTTTGAATACTTTCAAAATCTCTCTGAGCCAGAGCTCAGAGTTCAGCTAATGTCAAAAGATTTGCTCCCTGATCTGGCTACTGACCTAATGTTTACTTTTCGCTTAGAATTCAAGCTTGGGCATCCTCTTCACTCTGGAAGTTAAACTAGGGAGGGGAAAACTGATGAAGCATTAAAGACATCATTATCCCACCTCAGCCCCAGAAAAATGTTATGTGACCTAGCGGGAATGATGTAAATCATAGGAATCAGATACAATTTCAGAACAACTAACAAATTTCATTTCTATCAAAATAAGGAAAAAATCTGACATGCCCATCACTTAGAAATTAATATTATACTAATGTTTTTCGGGGACAAGAAATAGTGAATAATAGATCTTCCTTCTTCTCTTCTCTCTGTTGTCCTAGCCAACAACTAAAGAATCACAGTGATTGATTATTTTATCTTCTATGATTAAGATTTTATAAGAAATTCAAGGGAGCGAGAGTGTATATTTTACCCAAATAAAATAAACCATTTGAGAATGTTTTGCTACTTCTCAATAAAATCATTATAAGGGATTCTAACGTGCTTACAGAGTAGAAGAGTGAAAATGCTTGGACTTCAGAGTCCAGCAGCTCCAAGTCTGAATTTCAACTCTACCACTGACTTAGCTGAATGACCTTAAGCATGGATGCAATTCCTTTCGGTTTCTGCTTCTTTTTTTTTTTTGAGACAGAGTCTCGCTTTTGTTGCCCGGGCTAGAGTGAGTGGCATGGCGTCAGCCTAGCTCACAGCAACCTCAAACTCCTGGGCTCAAGCGATCCTACTGCCTCAGCCTCCTCCCAAGTAGCTGGGACTACAGGCATGCGCCACCATGCCCGGCTAATTTTTTCTATATTTTTTTTTAGTTGTTCAATTAATTTCTTTCTATTTTTAGTAGAGACGGGGTCTTGCTCTTGCTCAGGCTGGTCTCGAACTCCTGAGCTCAAACAATCCGCCCGCCTCGGCCTCCCAGAGTGCTAGGATTACAGGCGTGAGCCACCGCGCCTGGCCTGGTTTCTGCTTCTTTGTCTATTAAGTGGGTATAATAATACAGGTTGAGCATCCCTAATCTAAAGTTCAAGATCCAAAATGCTTCAAAATCCAAAACTTTTTGAGCACCATCATGACATCACAAGTAGAAAATTCCACACCACACCTCATGTGATGGGTCACAGTCAAAACACAGTCAAAACTTGGTTTCATATACAAAATTATTTAAAATATTGTATAAATTTACCTTCGGGCTATGTATATAAAGTGTATAAGAAACATAAATGAATTTTGTGTTTAAACTTGGGTCCCATCCCCAAGATATCTCACTACGTATATATAAATATTCCAAAGTCTGAAAAAATCCAAAATCCAAAAACTCTTCTGGTCCCAAGCATTCTGAATAAAGGATACTCAGCTTGTACCTGCCTGTAGAGTTGACATGAGGATTAAATACGATAACCTATGTATACCTTCTAGTATAGTGTCAGGCACATAGTTGGCATTCTAAATGTTAGCCCTCTTGTACTGTCATTGGTGAATAATTTTAGTATATCCTCATCTGAGAAAGTTAAGCATATTTGGCTTCTAGATCAAAATGCAGTTATCAAAAAAGAAAAACAAGTCATTTTTTCATATCCATTCTTTTTCATTAAATAGTCTCAGAATTTATTGAATAGTATCTGCAAGGGTTTGGCTTTGAACTCTTCAGAATCTTTAAAAGGTGTTGTGAGGGCTAGGCACAACGGCTCATGCCTGTAATTCTAGCATCCTGGGAGGCCAAGGTGGATCAGGAGGTCAGGAGTTCAAGACCAGCCTGAACAAGAGCAAAACCCCTATCTCTACAAAAAATAAAAACATTTCCCAAGCATGGTGGTGTACACCTGTAATCCCAACTACTCGGGAGGCTAAGGCAGGAGATCACTTAAGCCCAGGAGTTTGAGGTTGCAGTGAGCTACGATGATGCCACTGCACTCCAGCCAGGGAAACAGAGTGAGACACAGTCTCAAAAAAAAAAAAAAAGGTGTTGTGTATTTGCTATTAATTGCACATCAGCAGTAAATAGATCACAATTCACAACACTTTTGGCTTTGTGAGCAGGATCATGTGATGCCACCTTTTTTCCAGTCGATGACCCTCATTCGTTTTCCCATGACCTTTAACAATTTTCTCACAAATACATATTTAGGTATTCCAAAAAAAGTGTTGAGGAGACCAAAGTCACTGAAGTAGAAAGCTATTTCCAAAATTGTATTTATGATTTGTTACCCCAGCTACATCATCCGCCGTAAGAGATTTGGCATTTCTAATATATAATACTGATTTTAGTGATTAGTGTATATTTACCTTTGTATTTAAGTTGCATCTACTGAAATATATATTGTTGGCACTGTTAGTTGCTGTTGTGTTAAAACTAAGACAAATGCACTTGAGTATCTTTAATATAATCATTTTAAAAAGACCTTTTATTTGTTTTTCTGTCCATTCAATCTGCTACCCAGGAACTTCAGGTAAGATGATGCTATTTTTAATTCAGATATGCCAGTAGATGTTTTGCATCATTGCAGAATTATAACAACGTAATTGCTTTTTCCCTCCCTTCCAGTATATGTATGCTTATTTGCGTGCATATTTCCATTTAGGTGTGTGTAATATAAGAGGTATTTTTCTTGGCTGCTCTAGTATGGAAATGTTTTCTAAAATATAAGCATAATATTTTTTAAAAACTTTACATGCCTAGTTCAGGAAGTTGCATGATTATATCTCTTGAGAGAAAATAAGTTTCAAATATGATCTATGGAAATCTTACAATTTCTGACTAGGCAATTGTACAACTGGATGGGTTTTGGTATTAAATTCTTTTATTAAAGGTGAAATCAACAATCCACATCTAATTATATACCATATATACTTCCATAAATCCTTTTGTTTTCCAGAAATTAGAAGTTATCTCTATAGGGTGACTATATAAATTTTCATCCAAACCAGGGCCCCTTTGCAAGTAAAAGGAGGAGCTAATAATTACAAGGCATTAACCAGTACCCTCCTGGGCACACTGACCTATGATCACTCCATCTATGTATATCAGACTCTATATATCTATGTGTATCAGACTTACTCTAAATATTAATAGCTACACTTTGGAGAACATATTTGACTACAGTGCACCCAAGTTCCTTCAACAATTCTCATATGACAGAGCTCCAATATGAAAAAAATTGCTTCAAAGAATATTATTTCCAATATTTCTAGAATGTTCAGTCATTAATACTTTCCTGTCTCAGTATAAATCCTGAGTGGTTTATAAGTTTGATAACTGACATACGCAGATTGTCCATCTGGAATAGTTAGCCATCCTCTGCATTTTCTCACACATAGAAAATCTGGTCTAGTCAGTAAAACACTGTTTTGACTTTTAGCTTTGTATGTAACATAAAATACAAATCTGACATTTGGAGAAGAGGGAGGATGGAAGGTGGCTCTCCTATTAGGGCTATTCCTGTGCCAGGCTGGGAAATCCTGGTTGACATTCAATCACCGTGGGCTTTAACTGGGGCCAGACTACAACACTGTTCCATCTCAACCCCTCAGCCACCACCAGGGACATCATTTCAGCACCTTTGCCTCTAGCGGAAATATCGCATCCTCTAGAGAGGCAGCCAGATCTTATTCTGCAAGAACAGCTTTCCCGGCCTCCCTGTTCTCATGCCTGATTGATTCAGACCTTCACCAGAGCTGCCACCAAATCAACAGTAGCAGTGACCTATGTCTGGTGTAGCCTTCTCTTACCCAAGATGTCTATATGGCTCTGCAAGCTCATGGCTCTGTCTGGGGTCCAGTGTGGGAGACCTCCAGAATTGTTGCTTAAGATAGTTCATCCAATCCGTCCATTCACTTGGTACAAGAGAATCAGTTTTGTGAACTTATGTTTGTAAATTTTTCCCTGTAAGTTTCACATTCTTCTTTTTTTAGTCTGTATAGTATTCTTATTTTTCTTTATCTTTTTTCCTTTCTTTACACATTGGATTTTCCTTTTCTTCCCAGAACTTTTGCCTCATCCACATTTTTTTTCATTTTCTCACTGCGATAGCTATTTTTAAATCCCAACACAACAGTTAGCCTTTTTCCACAAAGAAAAAAAATACTTGGTGGTAATTTATGATAGCAGGTATAGATACAGAATATCGACACCATATTCTGAGTCTGCCTTCTCTTTATAATCAAACAGCCCTAAGAGCAATTGTAAATATCATAAATGGAGACGAATAATGATAGCAATTTCTGTATCACATCCAGAATGTATTTAGAATTCGTACCTGTTGCCTTCCTCCATGAATAGCCAAAACAAACTTTGGAAGAGCTAAGCCTCTGTTACATGAGAGATCTGTGAGAGTGGCAAGCTTGTGTCCTGAGGAGCTAGAAACAATAGACCCTAAACCAGATGAAAATTAGTAAATTTAATGCTCCCTAAATTTAACACTAATTTGCATCTCTCATATTATTATGCTGTTCTCTGAGCTCTCATCAAACAAAGTTATTTTATTTCAGCAAACCACCAGGCAGTGTTTCAAATTACCAACAAATGAAGAGTCTGTGCTGGATTTTGTTCAGATTACCCATTTGTCTAGGTTAGAATTTGCTTATCAGTGGGCTAGGTAATATTTTTCTTCCTTCATTCCTATCTTAACAGAGAGAAACATAAAACCCAGATTCATTTCTAGAAAAAAATTTTATCTTAAATAAACTGATTTAATATCTTACGGTTTGTAGAAAAAGTCTGAATACAACTAAAACCTTTCTTTAACACTTACGTGGCCACTTAGGCTAGTGCTCAGTAAATCAGATGTACAAGTCAGCAATAATATTTGATACTGAGTGGGTTGTTCCGGGTCCAGGAGATTAACTCTATGTTGGCACAATTATTGAAAGATGAGCCTAAAGCAAAAGTGAAGCCGTAGCTGCTATGGCCTCTGCGTAGTGCATGATCCGTCAGACTTTGCCCGGCTGCTCTCTGACAGTCTTTAACTCTGCATTTTATCTGTGGAAACCACTGTGGCAGAAATAGGCTGGAATGTTACCTAATGTGCTCTACTTAATACCCAAAGGATTTCAGAATGTGCTACAAGCATAGCTCCTACTTCTTCTCCTTCTGAAAACAGCACTAAACAGGGGCCAACCGTGAGGGAGGGCGGGGGGGCGGAAGGGGAGGTCGGCACCTCTTTTGAAGTTGTTTTAATATTAATGGTCTCTTTCTTATAATTTTTAAATCTCAGCTCATGTAGAGGGTTTACCAAAATCAACTTTTAAAAAATGTAATAATTACCCACCAGGCCAAAGAAAACTATGTAATCACTTCTACCTATGACTTTACATGCACTACCATGCTTTTACTACTTTTCACATCAGGTCAACAAAAGTTTGGGTACCAAAGTAGATGAGGGCCTCAGAGTTGATAATGACAATATTTGTTTCTAAGCTGTGGCTAATGAATGTGAGAAGGTGGACGTGCAGCAGGATTTGGGCATAAAAAAATGGCTGATGGTGTGATTTCAGGGGGAGAGCATGGACAATTTCAACTGGGGAGTGCGCAGACGTTCTCTGGACAGCCTGGACAAGTGTGATATGCAGATTCTGGAGGAGCGCCAGCTCTCAGGAAGCACTCCCAGCCTCAATAAAATGAACCATGAGGACTCCGATGAGTCATCCGAGGAGGAGGACCTCACAGCCAGCCAGATCCTGGAGCACTCAGACCTAGTAAGTAGCAGCTCTACCACTCCAGGAATTGGGAGACTTGTTTTTTTTGTAATTAAAACAGGAGTGTAGTTTCCAGTTTCAGCTAAAGAAACTTTCCACAACTGCTAAACTAAAATCTGAACTGTCAGGCGGTATCTAACGGGTTCTAACTGGCCAAGTCTTCTCTGTAGGCTGCAAATAAAAACAAATGCTGGTGTACATTGATGTACCCTGAAAGCCATCAAATCTGTTAAGGCCCAGATATTTCCCAAAGAACTTTTATGATGCTGGAATTTTTTTAAAAAATTTCTCAGATCTCTAACATTTCAGGAGATACACCAGAGGTTTTGATGTGATTATCTGAAAATACAGGTACTGGTGTTTCAGAGGTCTGCGCCATAATAATACTAGATTACCAGCTGCTATGTTTAAGTAGGAGCCAGTAACAGTGAAATATGGGAGTTAAAAATTAAAACCTATCAACCAACAACCAGAGAACAATGGTTTGGACTCTTATGTAAAAAAATAATTAAAGCTTTTAAAGAATGGGAACTTCATACCATGTTTCATTTCCTTTGCTTTTTAAACAGATCATGACTCTCTCCCCGTCTGAGGAGACCAATCCCATGGAACTGCTCACCACGGCCTGTGACTCAACCCCCGCCGACCCTCACTCCTTCAACACCAGGATGGCTAGCTTTGATGCTTCTTTGTCTGATATGAATAATCTGCAGATTTCTGAGGGTTCAAAGGTAAAGAGATTTTTGCCAATGATGATTGTAGTTTCCTTAAAGAAAAAAAGCACTTTTGATTCACTGAGAATTCTTAAGGGGTCAAAAGTGGAAGAACTATCTTTATCTTTTTCTTTCTTACTTTTTCGAAATAATTGATGTTTGGGCACCTGAGCCCACGTTTTGAAGTCATTTTACCCCTACAAGCTTGAGCAGCCATCATCCCCTTAGTTGAAAGAGATTTGATTCGAGGTCTTTTTAAAATGAAACATGTTGCGTGCGCACTGCTGATGGATAGCAGAACAAATCGGCGTGTCTGAGACTGCCGTGACTGGGAAACTGCTGCTCTTTGTCATGACTTTTATCAAACAATATGCTAAGTGAGGTGTGGGTGTATCATGTATTTGGGGACATTTTTTCCTATGTAGGAAACAACTATACAATTCATATATTGATTCAGGGCTCGCCCTTTGGCCTACTATCAGAATTTTTAATGTCAATCGCAGTTATTATGCTGGATTTGCACAAAACTCCTCTAGCCAGACTCTCTGAGGAGAAAGATAACTAGTGGACATAATTTTCTTATTCAAAAGGGTTTGCTTTTTAAAAATTCTAACAGTTTAGTCACTTAAATTTTTAAATTTATTTTAAAGATTTAAACATTGTTATTTTATTAAAATTTCTAGAAAATAGCCTGTCCATAAAACTATCCACTCCCAGGCTGTGCCCAGATATATGCCCATCAGTATAGAATTTAATTTCCCTATGGTAGAAACACCAGAATCATCTATTGTTGTTAGGATAGTTGTTAGGATAAAATAAAGCATTCTTTATCCTGAGTGTGGTTATGGTTGCATAAGTTCGAAAGAGAAAGTAAAATAGAAAAAAAATTATAAAGGCATTAATATATTCCTTATGACATTTCTAAGGAAAAAACATAATGTTGGCTATTCTGTATTCTTTTACAGTGTACTAAAAACAGACCAGAAATCTACACAAAGCTATGTGCTTTAAGCCAAGGACAACCATCAAATTGCAATTACCTAAAAATGTTGAAGCTTAAATAAGAATTATTTCTAAAATTGCCCCATTGCAAAGGGACTGTGATTAGGTTTCTTGGAGTTAGCAAAGTGCTTTTTTAGCCAAAAAAAAAAAAAAAAAAAGAACCAGAGAAAATATCTTTGTCTAGGTTAAAATGCCAGAATCCTAAGATTAAGAAATTAAATTTCATGCAAAAAAATCACAAAATATATGTGATGTTATTTGCATTTGATATTTCTCAGTGTTGGTGTAGTCATTTTCTCTATTTTTCTATTTTGAATGCTAAAATATACCGATTTCTCATATAAAGCACTGCCTGAGTAGTAGAAAGCATCTAATCCTACCAAGGAAAGGTTGGGTCTCATTTCTGAAGAGCTATTCCTGGGTTTCTGCAATGCTTGATGTATCTGTGGTGTTAGAAAAAGAAAACAAAAGATATTTTTATAAGAACTCAGCCTTTCCCTAATAGATGAAGTTTATGTACACTATAACCTAGCCCGATCCCCAGTGGCCAACCTTAATAGCACCACTGTGGCTTTAAAAAGCAGAAAGCAGATACAGATGAGCTTCTGAAACTCAGTATTTACCAGCAATCCCTCCAAAGATGCGAAATATCCCGTCTTCCTAATATATCTTTAACTTTCCTGTTAATTTTCCTTATTCTAGACTCAAAATACAAAATACATACTAAGTGGGTGGCCAGATGTTAACCCATGATAAAGCTCTAATTGATATACACTTCTGTTTTGCCTGGAGTTTTGTTTTTGTTTTAAGAAAATGACTCACTGAAACATGTACGTGTATTTTCTTCCTCTCTTCTGATGTGTAATCCAGTTGCCTTCCTTCCTCTCCTAAAGAACAATCAGTCCTCCGCTGATTTCCCCCTGGCCCGAGCCCAAGCCCAGCCTCTTTTTCCATTTTACTTGCTATGTCTCTTTCCTGCCTCTCACTCATCCCAGTTCTGCCTGGCCTAGAGCCCTTTCATTTTACTGCTTATTCCACATTTTGTAGCAAGGTAAGAGCAGACAGTCCTATCTGTTATCTTCAAGGGGAATTGTCAAGGGCAAAGCATGCATGTCAATGGATCTTAGAGGATTCCCAGTATGGAAAGGCCTAGCAACCCAGCATACTCAGGGAAGGACCCTAGAGCACTCATGCACACTAAAGATATTTCTTGAGCATCTACTGTGCCAGGCACTGATGATTCTAAACTCTAGTTTCCAGTGGCAAAAGGGTTCTGCGCTGGAGAACTAACTCTGGATAGCCTTGCTTTTAGAAGGCTGGGGTTGTACAATGGAAGGGGTTCTCAATCCAAAGACGGTGTTTCTTGTGCCAGCTCCGACTCTGGTTATCGGCCTGATATTAAGCAAGTCCCTTTCCCAGGGGGAGCATCGTGTCCTCATCTGTAAAATGTGGAGGTTGGACCTAGGGTCTCAATGGTCTTTCCAAGTTTAGCATTTATACTCCGTAAGCATGGCTCAAACATGATAATCTACTGTGAGCCCCTGTGGGGACTGTTCAGGAAGAGACTGAAAAGAAAATAAAGAATGAACAGTACTTCAGAGAATTCCTGAGTCCAGTCTAGAAACTGACTGTATTGTAGCTAGAAAACAAATGCCCTCATTTCTATCACTGTCAGCATTTCAGTCTTTTATTTTTTCTTTAGTTGAACAGAGCGTCCTGTATATATTCTCATATGTCTGGGGATTCTTTTCCCTTTTTATTCTGCCAGGCAGAAGCTGTCCGGGAGGAGGAGGACACCACCGTGCATGAAGATGATCTTTCCAGTTCCATCAATGAACTCCCGGCAGCTTTCGAATGCAGTGACAGCTTTAGCCTGGACACGACTGAGGCGGAAGAAAAAGGCCATCGGGCGCTGGACCAGTTTACTCTTGCAAGGTAACGGAAGAAACGGTGGAAGCGGGTGGTGGGGGTGTACCTGACACTTTGTATGGCATCCATACTAAAGCTAAATGTCACACTTGCACTGCTGGGATGTCCTAGAGACAGAGTCCAAAGTGACATGGAACTTGGCAGGTTTTCAGCTGAGTTAGAGTCATCCATCCCCATCATAGGGCCTCACATAGAGCCAAGACAGGATACCCACGAAAGAGTTCCTAAGGCATAAACAACACGAAAAGCCCAAGGGCCTGGGGCCGTGGTCCAGCCCTTGTAAGGTTGAAGCAAGATCTGGCACGCCTTGGAAATGAGTTCTTTCCACTTGGAGTGAAAAGACTAGAACAAGAGGTTATTTGTACACTAAATACTCTTCCTTAAGTGGGTGTCTTTCAGCCTGGTGGCTGATATTTCTGAGACTAGTGACATATACAAATAGAAAAAAATATGAAGAGGAATAGACAAAAACACCAAAGGTTACATAGTGCAGCATCTAGAATAAATCACAAACAATAATGCTGCAGAATTACTTCAGGAGAAGAAAGTCAAGATTCTAAAATTACTCTTCTGAAAGTTAAAAATAAGAACTAAGTAAAAGCTTCTGACATGGCTAGACAAAGGCCTTCTGTTACGGTGAGCAGTATCTATCCATCAAAGGAAAGGTTAAGGTAATACCTGGAGAAGAATCTGACTTTTCATTTTTTATTCTTTGTCTCTCCTTTCTCCCTGTGTCTCTGTCTCTCCATCCTCTTCTTTGGTTTCCTTTCCTCCTGCTACCCTAGTCTTCTGGGCATTTATGGGCATTCATTAGTACTCTCCCTCCAGAAAGGAAAAATTAGAAGATTCAAACTTTTTATTATAATCTTTCATAATGAAAAATGAAGAGGAATGGAAGTGCCAAAGCCTAAGAACTGGTGTTTACTCTGTCTGGGGCCCTGGCCCCTGGGAAAGTGAGAGGCCCTTGCTGAAGGCTGAAGGAGGTAACGTGTCTGTAGAAAGGAAATCAGAAATGGGGAAATCACAGAAATTCTAGAGAGGAAAATTCTATTTCCTAGAATCAAAGAAGAATCTCCATGACCTCTGAACGAAAGCCAAGTCCCCAGAGCCACCTCAAAGGGAAGAGTGGGCAGAACAGTGACCCACAGGGTTAGAATTTAGGAACCCGGGAAAAGGATGAGAAGGACGTCATTTCTTGACATGGTCGTTTTCATTTCTTCCAGCTTTGGAGAAGGCGACAGGGGCGTCTCCCCGCCTCCCTCGCCCTTTTTCTCGGCCATCCTTGCTGCCTTCCAGCCCGCGGCCTGTGACGACGCGGAGGAGGCCTGGCGCAGCCACATCAACCAGCTCATGTGCGACTCGGACGGCTCTTGTGCCGTGTACACCTTTCACGTGTTCTCCTCCTTGTTTAAGGTACGCTGCTCGCTGACAGCTCAGAGGGCTCGGTCTCCTGGGGGAGCCAGGTAGCTTCTAATTTACGAAGTTGTTTTGTTTCGGGATGGCACTATTTTCTCCTTCTTTGTCTTTCTTTTTCTTCATTATGTGTGCCTGGCCTGACTTGTCTGTTATCTCTACCCCTCCCGGGCCCAGTGAATTCCTAAGCATGGCAGCCATAGCTGTGAACACTTGCTTCCTCCTTTTAGTTGCTTTGGAACAGATGAAAGGTCGTTCCTGGTGTCGTAGCAGGGTTGCTGTGCATTGCGGATTTCTTGCTGTGGCATGTGGAAATGCCTCCTGCTTAGTACCCCTTAAGAATCAGGCCAATCTAACAACCGCCTCTCCTGTGAGAACCACGGTCCCACGGTCCATGCAGTGTCTTTGTGCAAACTGTCAGAAATGTCCCCTCCTCCAGATGGGTGCAGTACCACACGTGGCCAGCAGAGTGCACTTCTGAGCCCTCAGTGAGACACCCCGGCATCTTGCACACACAACTCTGTGGCAGTATCATGTGGAGACACCTTAAATTTCTCGTTACCCCCATAACACACTTACAATGAGTACCGAACTAAACACGTGGAAGGAGTTCGACTTCTGATTGGTGGTCGAAAATTTCATTTTATTCCTGCCTGTCTGTTGATCATGAAAATTCCCATCAGTTCCTCTGTGCATCTTGCTCTAAACTTTCACCCTCCAAATTTCATCAAGTAATTGGCGGAGGGTGTGAGGCGGCACAAGAAAAGAGAAACATGCCTTGCTCTGAAGGAGCACCGAGACCTGTACGCTGAGTTTGAAGCAGATATTGACGGTGAAATGGCAAGACTGGGAATGACAAAGCCATGAAACCACGAAGATGAGGTTGTAGGTGAAGGTTTGTTGATGTGGAAACGTGATTACCATATAACTTAAGAGAAAACTAGTTTAAAAAAAAAAAAACAAACATTATATACTGTTCCTTTTCTTGGAATGCCTAGAAAATAATGAAATTATATATCAGAGTTTCATTGTGTCTTCTCAGGGTGATGAGATTTGGGGTGTTTTTTATTTCCTTCTTTGTATTAATACTTTCTTTCAATTTCCCATTTTCCTATAATGAAAATGCTTTTCTATCAGCATTTTCCTTAACCTTATTTTTAATAACTCGTTAAACAGAACTCCCACTGATAATACAATGGGAAAAAAATGGAAAGAAGCCATCTAGTTCCAACTCTGAGTAGACTTGAATAACGGATGAATGAATGGACTGACCGGTTAAAATCTAGTTAAGCTTGTGTAGATGTTGAGTTAAATCGAGTATATCATGAGACAGGGATAATAATCTGGTTCCACTGAGGGAACGGGCCCTCTAATCACCTGCAGGAAGAGCCATGGCAGAAGGGAAAGGCAGGAAAATGAGGAATTATGGCAAAAGTACAAAATGAAAATTAATGTCCCCCTTAAATGGGTTAAGAAGTTGGGGACTAGAAGACCCCATAGGTAAAACTATCTTAAAACATCATTTCAACATTCAGTAGCCAGCATCCCTTGGCTCAAGTCTGCTCGGAGATAAATGGCGTTATAGCACGGTTGCTGTGCATTGCACATTTCTTTTTATGGTATGAGAAAGTGCCTCCTACTTAGTAGCCCTTAAGAATCAGGCCAGTGTAACAACCATCTCTCTAAGGTTGCTTATTAATCTGCTATCTTAGTGAGCAGAAGACTAGACAAAACTAAAATCATGTACTTTAAATAATTTCAAATCCAGGAAGACATTTTTAGTAATATAAGAGCAAACTCTGTTTTTGAGCCTGGAAGCCCTTCCTATAATCCGTTTTTGGAGAATTATATACCAATAGTACTGATAGCTATAGTTTCTCGCTTGCAGTCTTACTTGTGGTGCCCTCTCTCAACTATGTAAATGTAAGTGAAACCTACTAGAAAGTTGAATGGACAAATTAAGGTCGTGTCTGGGATTAATTTGGGGCTGGATGAGGTGTGAGGCTTAAATCAGAAAACAGTCAGCTGCTGGAAGATAAGAATTCCAGAAACACTTTAACGTTAAGCCAGATTGAAATTTTAAAGCAAACTACCAGAAAGCTACTATTTGAGATGAATTTAATGTTAAAGATTCAGAAGCAAAGCAACTTATTATATTTTTCTAAAAGCTATTTTTAAATAATGATTAATAGTACATATTTAAGTTTGGCTGCGGTAGTCATTTTCTCTTATTACAGTTACTGGATTACTCATGCTTAATTTGATCATCCTGAGCAACACTGTCCCTCTGCCTAGAACAGTCATCTCCCCTCGTCCCTGCGCTGTACTCCCAATCGCATTCAAAGGCCTGATTGGACGTCACTTCCATGAATGAAGCCTTCCTTTACCTGTTTCTCCCTTCCTCTGTCACCTGGGATCCTTGTACTTGCATCTGTTACATTCGTCACACTATAATTACCTGTTTAGCTGTCTGTCTCCCCAGAAGAGGGCAGGTGATGGTGCCTTGCTACTTTGATTTCTCAGTAGTTGACACAGTTGATAACACAATAGGTGCTCAGAAATGTATAAAGAATAAATGGAAACCTTAAATATACAGCTTCTGACGTCATGCCAGTAGACAAGTAGGTTCATTACCAAGAGTGGCAGGTCAGCCATGGCCCACAGCTGCAGCTACCTCCACTCAGCCTACTTCCTCTCCCACCTGCCCAGGTATGCAGGTAGCATGAGGAAGGCAGAAGGGAGGCCCCAACCTTCACCCTCTACCCCCTGGTGCCTGGCAACCCACTAGTCGAGATACTGGTGAGGCGTAAGGAGAAAAGAGTTGTATGGGATGGTGGTTTCTGGGTGGAAAACAGTACAGTGAGGTAAGAATAGCCTTTGGAGTTAAACCAACCTAGGTTCAAATCCCAGTTCTGGCCACTTACTGGCCTGGTAGACTTGGAGACAGTCCTTAAGTTCCCCAAGCCTCAGTGTCCTCCATTGGACAATGGAAGTACAAATACTATCTATGAGTTTCATCTTTTTAGGGACAGCTCAAGCAGAGAAATAGCTCAGGCTATGTATCTGGCAGGCAGGCAGCACGTGCTGGCTGTTCCCATCGGTCCGCTCTTCCTCGTGGTCAGTGGCATGTGCTTTGTGGCCCTGGCCCCTCCACAGTCTGGTTCCTCTGGTGAGAGCCCAGGAGCAGTTGCCCCCCACGGAGAGTTGGGCTGCCCTGCCTGAGTGCCCTGGGCCACCTCCCCCGGGAACTCTCTAGCCGTTTCCGAGAGTGACACTCAGATCGTAGGAAACCTAAGAGACCAGAGTTTAACTCCCGAGTGGTAAAACTGTAGCTAGAGGAGTGAAAAGGCTTCAAATGTCACATCCAATGTCTTTCCTGCAGACAGCCCCTTCTCCCAAGGGGGCTGATTTGACATCTGTTGTCCGGTAACAGTCAACTCTCTAGGATGCTCCTTTCACCACCCCACTGAGGAAACGGGTTCAGTTTTCATAGCACCCACTGTCCTGAGAGCAAAGCCGTTGTGGAAAAGGGAGAAGAAAGTACTAAAAATTAAAATGCAACACGAGCTGAGAGGTGGGGCTGGGCATGAGCCTTTTGGGGACTTGATTGGGTTTGAATTTTGTTTTCATCAGTGTATTAGATCAATCACCCGTGGAGCTCATCTGCAATAATAACAATTTTTAAAAATATATACCTCCTATGTTGCTTTTTAATATTACATTTAGCCTTAAGAACTTTCTCACCCCTGTCAAATACTATGTGATTAAAAGCAACACTGGAAGCAAAACGGGTATTAACAATATATGCTGGGAATGAAATACGTTTCAGACCTGCGGTCTAGCTGTTATTAACCACTTCGCATTTCCTCACCATGTCTGTTTACTGTTTTCCAACATTTTCCTGTAGGTATGAACACCATGTTTCCCAGTGTTTGGTTGGATTTGGGAAGAGGTAGGGAGGAGGTAATTGCAAAAAGAATTGGGTTTTAAAAACAGGGAAATGGTTTCTGCTGGTCCAGTGTAAACATCTTTCCAAGTGTCTCCGTCATTATATTTTCTTCTTGTTGCTCATGTGTGAGAATATCACCATCATCGATCACACAATGTCACCAAATTATATGATACGTTTATATGCAACTGAGGAGAAGATAAAACTGAATTTTTATCCCCTAAATGTCACCTGCATTTATATAAGGCTCTGAGGATCCCTGATAAATCTAGTCTCAGTACAATGAAAAATAAACCAAAAGCTTATCTCATGCTGAGGGAACCTGGAAAGAACCCCAAACTATTTGGGGACCTGAATCCTAGCTGTGCAACGCTAGACATGGAATTTCAGGCTCCTTGAAGCTCTTACGTTATTGATTTGGAGTATTTTATTTAATTGCACATAAAACCAACTTAACACCATATTCCAAAATCTGAAAAATATCTAAAATCTGAAACACATCTGGTCCCAAGCATTTCAGATAAGGGATACTCAACCTGTACAAGCACCCACACGTTAGGAAATGACATTTTAGGGAGAAACATTGTCCACAACGAATGGTTACTTAGTTGGTTCGACACAAACATTCATTCTGCTCCCCTCCCCCATTACCCTTAGGACCCATGTCATTTGATATTTGTATAAAGATTCAAAAAGTTTTTTGCTATTAATAACATTGTATTATATGTTTACAGATCTCTAAGAGTAGATTTTAAGCGTTCTCACCACAAAAAAAATGATAAGTATTTGAGGCAATGAATGTTAATTAGCTCAATTTAGCCATTTCGCAATGTATACACGTTTACATGATATATACTTTACTTGTCAAGTAAAAAATCAACCAATTAAATTAATTTAAAAAAAGCTGCCCCTTCCTCCCCCAATTTTTTTTATAGTACGTAAGTTAAACTTGGCCTTTATCAATTTCACTTCACTATTCTGTCCTGCAGAATATTCAGAAAAGGTTCTGCTTCCTAACCTGTGATGCAGCCAGTTACCTTGGAGATAACCTCCGGGGAATCGGATCCAAATTCGTCAGCTCTTCCCAGATGCTCACCTCCTGTTCTGAATGCCCTACACTCTTCGTGGATGCCGAAACCGTGAGTATCCCGTCCTGCTCTGGCAGCAAAGAGCCTGCCTGACTTACGGTGTGGAACTTCAGGGCAGCATGTTTGTGTTGTGGTTTGTTTTAAAGACACCTTCAGTGCTGTGGGGCAGCACTGTGTTGTGGTGCGACTCCCAAAGGCCTCTGGGTCTGTAGAGTGATCACTGTACATTGCCAGAGAATCAGGAGAAAGATCCACCCCTGTGCTCCCTCTGCATCCTTGGCACCTCTCTCTGATGACTCTGACTTTGACACCTGTGCATATATGGCCAGATAACCCCCGGAGCTGACCTGGCCAGTCCCCACGATTCCAGGTTGGCCAGCCAGATGGGTCTTCAGAGGCAACATGTCACCACTTTCCCCACCCCTAAGTCTCAAACAAAGACTCACTGCCCTCTGGATTCACCCAGCCCAAACTGCAATGATGAGTTGAAAGAAAAATTAAAACAGTCACTATCTGATGGTTGAATCATGACTTTATGACTATAACTCTAACTCTGCAAGACTGATGAGCTCTTTGAGGGCAGGGGTTGTGTTACCTTTCTTCACAGCCCTCATCATATCACAGAACCATTGCATGTGCTCAATAATTACCAAGGTTCAGAACCAATGAGCATGTGCTTTGATTCTAAAAATCTCTGAAGGGTCAGTCTTTCCAAGAACCTAATGGGTGGTTGGTTGTCTTGCAGCAAGGAATACAATATGAAAAATCATTCTATCTTAAATGATTTAAGGTATAGATTAAATACAAAAATTCAAAAGTCTCTTTGGAGGTCTGTCTTCACACTACTTAAAGAATGATTGGATGACTATATCCATGCATAAATGGACACCATATGTTAATGTGAGCTTCTATGGAATGGTTGGGAAGGCTTGTCTGCTTATGCTGCTAGGGGAAAAGAATCGTTTCATAGGAGGCTTGGATTAGCAAGCTAGTGTTCAATTGCAATTACAGCTGATACTGGAGCAAAATCCCAAATTTCACAGCTTATTAAAATGGATGGCACTGTGCCCCCTTTATATTACTTCTAAATGTACTTCTCTTTTCTATCTGTGTAGTCACACCTTTGTGTTGGTATCACTATAGTTGTTTTAATACAAACTATTTTCCTGTCTTTAGCTCCTTTCTTGTGGACTTCTGGACAAGCTCAAGTTCAGTGTTTTAGAACTGCAAGAATATTTGGATACCTACAACAACAGAAAAGAGGCTACTCTCTCCGTAAGCTTTTGTGTTTCTGTGCATGTACATTCTGTTAAAATCGAATGAACTCAACCACTGTGGGAGCTGTTGTGTTTAACCTAAGATAGTTTCTTCAGGCAGTACAAGACAGACCTCATCTTTTCCTCTGTTAAGGATTACAATTCCAATTTAATGGTAGTAGAACTGTATGTAATATTGATTATATTAAAAATGGTATTTACAAAAGAGAAATTTTTCAGCTTTTTAGCCTTATAATGTCCCTACCAAGAAATTGGAAGAAATGTGTATCTGCTTAATATGTCACTTTATCAATGTTATAACTTTTCTTTTCTAAGGGATTTGAAATTGTTGATTCCTTCCTTCCAGTGTTAGCCTCACCCAAAACTAGTTGTGAAGGATCTTATCTCTGGCCTCTTCTTACCCACTCGTAGGGGCTTTCTCCCATCCACATGGCTTCTCTTGGCCTCGGCTTTTGCACTTTTCTTTTCCTTCATAGATCTAGATCATAAAATGTTAGAGACAGAATGATCTAGAAACCATGCATGCACACCACCTGTTTTCTGACAGATGCACAATTGCAGCCCCAGAGAACTCAGTGACTCACAAATAAGAACAATTGTGTGTAATATCTGTTAAGCACTTTCTATTACATGTCAGGCACTATAGAAAGAGCATGGGTTTTCAGGTAAGATGGACTTGGGTTCAAACTACAGCTCAGTTACTTAAGGGTTAGTGACGTTGGATAAGTTACTTACCTTCTCTCATCTCAGATGCACCATCTGTAAGCCAGTGGTCCTAATAACTAATCTGCAGGATTGTTGTAAAAATAGAACAGTTATAATAGTCACGGCAGCATCATTTCCTGAGTCCTTTTTATGTGTCCAACAACCTAACAACCTGCCAAGAGTTAAATCTCTTAAATTAAAGCATTTAATGCTCACAACTACCCTGGGAGTCACTGTTATTGCCCTGATTAGCTGGGAGGTGGAAGAATGGACTGTAACCCAGCTGTGTGGGATTAAAAGGTCCATGCTCTTCACCACGACACAATGTTGCCTTGAAAACAGAAATAGTATCTGGAATACTGCCTGTCACAGTGCCATATATAGAGAAGACATTCATTGTAAAGTTACTGGTTTGGGTTTGTTTGTTGCTGTTGCTGTTATTGATCTTCTCATGACCTGTCTGAGGGCAAGAGTTCTGACATTGCCCCGTAACAATTCTCTTTGTCTTCCATTTCTATGGCTCTTTATCTGTTATTGTTTTCCAACTTCCCAGTCATCAGCCAGTAGAAGTAATCTTTTCATTCTGGTTGGTGAACCAAAATAGACTGCGATGTCAGGTGTGAATTTTAATTCTTCAGTGCTCATTGTTTCCTGCTCAAAGGTTCCTTTGCACCTCTGTGTTACTATCCCAGATGCCTAAGACTGGCAGAATCTCCAAATAGCTGAGCTGTCACCACAATAGCTTTTTTCTAGTGAAAGAGACTCGTCCCTTAGAGGTCCTTTGAGGTCCCTTAGAACCACCTCCATATAACAGAGCAGCCAGTATATCACAAGTCAGGTCATGTTGACCAGAATCACCCGGCCTGTGAGGAAGTGTTGGTCCT